AATAAAAACATTAAAAAACAAAAATCAAAACAATGAAGATCAAAATAAAAAATAAATTATAAACTTGAATTAAATGATAAAATTAAAAATAAAAAAATTTACTAAATAATCAAGGAAAAAAAATAAGAAATGATAAAAATATTAATTAAATCTAATTAAAACATCAAAATATAATAAAAAAATTTAACATATAAAATTTCTCAACATATTGTTTTACATAAAAAAGCCCTAAAAATAAATTAAAAAGTTTATGTATGCATTGAACTAAACAAATTAATAATTATTATCTAAATAAATGGAAAAAGTTTAACAAAAATAAAATTGAAAAACAAAAAATAATAATTAAAATTCAATAAAAAAAAGAGAAGATGGGTATACTTTTTAAGAAAAAGAGAGATACCTACACAATTTAATAAAAAACAAGGGAGTGGTGTCTGATGTTAGGAATGGCAAGCAAGAAGGATTATGATGTTTGGGTTAAAAATCATGCTGAAAGATGAGACGAAAAGGCAATGATGACAATCTTTCAAAATCTTTTTGGGCCCCCCCAGCTCACTGATCAGCCTTCAAGTGCAATGGTTTTTTTTTTTTTTTTTAAATTTTCTTAAGGGATCAGGCGACAAGCTGGTTTTTTCCCTTGGGATAACTCAGGTAGTTACAAACAAGCAAATCAGACGTTTGAAAGATGTATATTTGATTTTATTTGGTCTCCAAACCTAATGAATCCAGATGAAGACTTGGGAAAAAGCAAAGAAAAACAGTTTTTTTTTTTTAAAAAAAAGAAAGCGAAAATGGCCTCAAGAGAGGAAGTTGTGTGCAAATCTTTCTATTGGAGTCAACTTAAAAGTTTTAATAAAATTTCACATTTAAAATTATTTAAAATATTAAGAATTGAATTTTAAATGAAATTCAAATTTCTGAAAGTAATACAAAAAAAAATCAGAAGGTAACTCCACTTATAATTCCAAAAAACAGAAGAAAAAATTAATACTCAACTAAATTTATCAAAATACTCATCTATTTATCTTTTTTTTAATTTTTTTGAAGAAATAAAATAAAAGTAATGAGGATAATAAAGAAAATAAAATAATTTAAATTATATCTTTTTTAAATATGTAAATTCAATTTATTTACATTTAAATTCAAAATAAACACTATAATTAAATATATTAATTCCAAACAACTCATCAAAGAAATGCTATCTCTCAACTTATTTTGAGCCAATAACATAAAATAAATAAATAAATTTGAGTTAGTTGTAAGTTTTAAATTAAGAATTATTTATCCTAATCCTCAATAACAATTAATATTACATCAGATCATTGACTTGTTTTATAAAAAATTTTGAACATAAATAAATATTTATATTTTATTAAAGTGTTTTATGATAGAAAAAAATTAAAATAAGTATATGTTAATTATTATGTGATTGACTTTACTTAATAGTTCAATAAAAAGTCCATGCTTTTCCTTTTCAATGCAAGTTTTTGTTTGTTTGTTTGTTTGTTTTAA